GAAGGCTGGGACAGGCTCGGTGATGCTGCATGGAGCGTGTCATCACTTGCTGCCTTTTTCTACATGTATAAAGTTAAGGGCAAGAGTCTGGCCGTTGGCAGACCTAGATGCTGTTTCAGGCAACCTTAACTTCTCTTAATGTGACCCTTGAACAGGATGGATTTGAATCACACGGGTCCGCTTATAAGTGGATTTTTTTCGGTAGTAAACACTATTATACTGCCCAATCTGAGGTTGTTTGAATCTGCAGATACGGAGGAACCCCAGATATGGATATGGAGAGCTGAGTGTAGTCATACACTGATTTTTGACTAAGTGAGGGGTCAGTGACCTTAAGCTGTGTTGTTCAAGGGTCAACTGTATAAAAGTGGGAGGTTCTTCAGCTTTATTCTAAAACCATTTGAGTGCTTTGTCTGTGCCAGGTGATTTAAACACAAATAAGAAATGTTCCCTAGTAGGTGGTAGGTTTATTCCACCTTGACAATCCATGATGTGTTTGTCTTTCTCTTCTTTAGAGTGCACTTGGGAAGAGAGGTAATAAATTTTGTCTGTAGGAAACATAATAGATAGTGCTTTATTCCTTTGGCCAGAAAGTAAATTTGAGACCCGATTACCATTTTTGCTTTATGAGGTGACTGTATTTGTTTCATAAAGCCAAAAATACACCAGAAACCACTTTGCACGTTTGATGTCATCCTCTGTGTGGAAGCAGTAAGTTTCAAAGCCTAAGCTTCTTTGAACATTTAAAGGTGGTTTGAACATTTAATCCAAGACCAGATGCCCCTCTCCCTCCTCTTTTTTTTTTTCTTCTTCTGTTAGTATTTCACCTCTTTTTTTCTTCTACATTGAGATCTTTCTAGGAAGTGCTAAATGGTAATACACTAGAAGTTTTTCTTGAAGCAATTAAAAGAGAAGAGTTTGGTATTTCCTGTCATATGATTTTAAGAGGTAGCTTTTGTGTTAAATTAGTGCTTAGCATGTTATTTTTTACTGTTTTAAAGCAATTTTTTTCCATTGCAAATGTCACAGTAATCTCTGTCATTTCTATTCATGAATGAAAAGCACTTGCACAGTGCTTCTTCATCCATGAGTGCAAGTTTTAGTTAAACCACATGGTGCCCCATGACATTATGCTGACAGGCACAGAATAAATAGCACAGATTTTGTTTCCTGAAGATTGATTATTTATAGATCAGTTGATAATTTTTTTTCCAGGTTGCTTCTTACATTGATGATGAGAAATTTTTCACTTCTGTAGAAAGCTATGGATTTTAATAAACCTCTGTCAGGACTGCAGACCTACCTACTCAATATCACTTTTTCATCTTCAACATCTTTTCCAGCAAAGATAGGAAGTGATATTTACCCCTATTCTTAAAAATAACGTTGCTGGAAACTGTAGGAGTGAGGGCAAAGCTTTTGAGGCAATGAGTTTGTGAATGATAACTTGTTAATACAATATGTTGGTCTTGCAAATTTTTAAGAAAAACAGGAAACTTTTTAATGCACACTTATTTTGTTTTAAACCATTACATATTCAGTAATTGTATTCACCAGCTTTCATTTTATGTTTAAATATTAGTGCTTCTTTTGTTATCAAGCATCTTAGCTTCCTCTCCCTGCATCCTGTCTGACTTGCCTTGTTTTTGATATGTTTTACAAAATTTAAAGTGTAGTCTGGCTTTCAGAAGGCTGTTGCCAGTCTCTCTGATTTTATTGTTGTTGATAAACTATATTCCCACCATGAGTTAAAGGCTTATGGTGTAAAGTAACAGGGTTTAGTGCTTCTTTACATTCAACTTTTATAGAAAATTAGTTCATGCTTTGGCCACCTGATGTGAGGAACCGACTCATTTGAAAAGTCCCTGATACTGGGCAAGATTGAAGGTGGGAGGAGAAGGGGACGACAGAGAATGAGATGGTTGGATGGCATCACCGATGCAATGGGCATGAGTTTGAGTAAACTCCAAGAGTTGGTGATGGACAGGGAAGCCTGGTGTGCTGCAGTCCATGGGGTTGCAAAGAGTTTGACATGACTGAGTGAGTGAACTGAACTGAATATGCATGAGTGGGTGTAATTTTTACTTTAATGACTCATATTCTACTTTGTAGAGGACAGTTACTTAGTTTGTCCAGAAATAGTTAATTTGAGAACTTCTGTGGGTCTCAGTATTCTATGATTATATAGTTCTTGTATTAGTAATGATACATTTTTGAAATAGCCCTGTTCTATTAATATTATTTATTAGTCAGGCTTGATTTACCTGGATTGATATGCTTCCTAAGTTTTATAGTGGGCTCCAAAATGAACATACCATGTGCATGCGTGTGTGTGTGCTAAGTTGCTTCAGTTGTGTCCGACTCTTTGTGACCTTACGGACTGTAGCCTGCCAGGCTTCTCTGTCCATGGGATTCTCTAGGCAAGCGTACTGAAGTGGGTTGCTATACCCTCTTCCAGGGGATCTTCCTGACTCAGGGATCAAACCCGTGTCTCTTATATCTCCTGCATTGGCAACTGGGTTCTTTACCACTGGCACTATCTGGGAATTATGTGGAATAGTATCTTCTTTTCCATTAGTATAATTTTAAAATATTTGTATTTTTTGTTATAAGGCAGCTTTAGGAGTAGTAAGTTTGTTTTCCGTAATGAGTGAAAGTGATAGCAGTATGAATGATCCTAAACCAACTATATTAGCTTTAGAATATTTTTTATGGGTACAGTTTTAAAAACAGAGATTGTTGAAAATTCACCAAGTTTTACTGTGTAGTACTAAGACTGGAGGGTGTGATGAGCAGAGTCTGTCCACATAGCTTAGTGCTAGCTCTCAACAAACCCTCAAATTACTTATTGTGTGTTTGATTTCAAGCTTCCATGCTGCAAGTGAAATTAGAAAAAGTACAGAATAGGATGTCATCAAGGAGTTAAGTGGGATGTTATAGGTGTTTTCATGAAATGTGAAAGTAGATTTGAAATGACTACAAGTAATTTGTTAAGTGCATTCTTGAATTATTCTTATAGATAAGAGATGAGTAAAATAGTTTGAGAAGAGTCTGTCAATCTAAATGGCAGATTCTTTTTTGGGTGTTGGTTAAAATCAAGCTGGTTTTAGAAAAGGCAGAGGAACCAGAGATCAAATTGCTAACATCCACTGGATCACTGAAAAAGCAAGAGAGTTCCAGAAAAACATCTATTTCTGCTTTATTGACTATTCCAAAGCCTTTGACTGTGTGGATCACAACAAACTGTGGAAAATTCTGAAAGAGATGGGAATACCAGACCACCTGACCTGCCTCTTGAGAAA